CACGGAAAAAGACAAAAAGGAAAAAAAAAAATGAATTTGATACTTAAAGAATTTGTTTAAAATATAAGGACTCACTTTTTTAAAAACCCAAATGTAATCTACTATACTCATGATTAATCAAAAGGCTGTTGGTACTATGCTTGGAAGACTGCTGAGCAAGGTAGGGCTCAATCACTCAGATTGATGGTGTGATAAATGAAGAGCTCTTCATCTCCTGCTTTTGCCCAAGTCTATCATGTGACAAGAAAACTGCAATCCTATTCTGACATGCTTTCCCCAACAATTTTTCTAACTGCTACTTTATTCACCATAATGCAATAAAGGAGTTGATGAGGAGCTGGAAGCGTTGGATTCAAGTACCAGCACTGCCATTCACTACCATGCCCTTTACTGCCACTCCACTTACAACTTCTTAGCGTCTCAGTGTGCTCACTTGTACATTGGCCTCGAACACTCCATCTACCTCACTGTGTTATTCTGAAGCCACAGAAAACCATGGAAATGCTAACTACTCTCTCCCAGAACAACCCAACTTCAGATTCATTCGAATTTCATGAGGAAAAGAAAATGGCACAATATAGGTAAACTTCCCTATAGTATCTAATTTGAGGAAGAAAAATAACTCAATTGAGCAGACTTAATTGGGAGTCTGAATTCTAAAACCAGCTTTACGTAGTGAAAATTACAGGACTATGCCCAAGTCGCTTGCCTTCTCTGAAAATCAGCTCCCACATAGCTTACATTAAATTAAAACCTATCCTATCAATATATTACTTTTGTCATGAGGCTCGGCAACAGTACTACATAAAAGCAGTCAAAAAAACTGTAAAACAGTATTTAATTGGGGCAATAACAAAATCAATATAACAAAGTTTTTTGTTATCACAAGGGGCTCTCAGGTTTCTTTTTAACTACTTGGCAGAATGTACATATCACACTCTAAAAATTACCCCACAAAAAATCCCAAAGTATTCCTTAAAAGTGGATATTTAATTTAAGTATATGTTACTGAAATCACACAGCTTATATGTCGCATGCTATTTGGTACATTTTTTTACAGAAGGAAAAACAATTTAAAACTAAGCATTGATCTAATGAAAGTAATAGTACATTCATAGTACTCTCCACTCCCAAAGGAATAGGATTTTTTGCCTGATTTCTAATTTTAAAAGGAAAAAATTAAAAATACAAACCAAGACCAACTGAGAGTTGCAGCTCATTAAAGCTGAGGTGATTTCCCCTATATAGAACTCTATTGATCTCCATAGTCCACACTAGACAAAAAGTGTGGTCAGGGAAGGGCGTGATGGATGCCTCTGCCAATAGCACTGAACAAACCTGTTAGCTAATTGCTACCAAAGACAATTATCCCCACATTGTTTCATAATGGAAACACATTACAAAACTCTAATATACACACGCACAGGGAAATTTGATGATTTGACTGCGGAGCCATGTGCATTGAATTTCATTGCCAAAGGCCAGCCAGGTCGCTGCTGTGAAGGGGAAGAAAGTGTCAGAATATAAGCCACAGTATCTTAAAGCTTTTTACTTTAAGAAAAAAAAAAAAAGGAAGAAAGAAAGAAGGGGGAATGAAAAAGACAAAGAAAAGAAAGGAAGATAACTTAGCATCATCAGCAAATTGATTAAGTTTCTACAGCCTAGCACTAGTTTTAACATTTTCTGTTACGTTTTGAAATGATAAACCTTTAATAATAATGGTTTGTCATATAATCATAAGAAGATTTTTAAAACCATTTTCTGTCTGGAAGAATTTTAATAGCTTTTTTGACTGGCAGTCCATCTACTGGCAAGTGTGGAGTTAAAAAGGTGGCTTCACAATAGCCTATTTATTGAATACAACATTGGAACAAAAAGGATGGAACAACTTGGAAATAGTATTCATCTAAAACAGTGAAATGTGGTTTTCTCACCTCAATTTTTTCTATTGGTAAGCCAATATTATTTTTTATTCTAGCCATCCTTCTTTCTATCCAACATTCCATATTTATATTGTTTTGAATACAATTTCAAATAAAAAGCCCTTTTGTCATTTAGTAATGTTTTCAGAAACTGAATTAAATGTTCTTAATCATTAAAAATATGGATTGTGTTGATTTTACTTTGCCATGAAAGACAACTAAGATTTTGGTATAAGTTCCTTAGATATAAAATATTTTGTTTGAAAAAAGAAAAATAACTATATTGCAGAGATATTAATAATAAAATACAACAATAATAACTACATTATAAGATCACCATCCTTAGGCTTATCTGAAATGCTACCTATCAATTTAGTTAATACAGAACCCAGCAAGGTAACCTTTTTTTATAAAAGGATCAAACAGAAAACAAAGAATACTCAGTCTAACAGTCATCTTAATTAATAAAAAAATGCATCTTCTCTTTTTTACAGATATTGTCTCCTTTTTGGTTCTCAGATCTTTTATTTAACCACTGATTGAATTTCACCAGGAAATAGGTACTGCAATACCTGTATGCAATCAATGATGCAAGTCTTTTTATCTTAGGTATAAAACAGTAATATTCCTCATATATTATCACCATGAATTTTTCTTAACAGGTTTTCAAGTCTCGTATTCAAACCAAAATTTTATCTTGATTTAGTAACTAGACAAAAAGGCTGGCTTCATTTGTATGAACAGTTTTTTCAAATATGTATGTACTTGGATGCCCTTAAATTCCCCAAGTAGAAAGAAATGCTTTCCACGAAGCTGCTTATTCCAAGTAACCCACATCAGAGCTGACACTTGAAAAATGGTGAAATTACTGAAGGTAGTCCAGCCTGAATAAGGACTACCTTATTAGTTCAGGTACTTGCATCTCCCTAATTTTCATATTAATCATGTGTCCATCTTTCTCTGAAATAGGGCCATCATGCTTCACGTCAGAATTTAGCATGTAAGTAAAATTCATAGTGCTTCAAATCTCACTTGAAAATATTTGTGTGGAGAGAACAGAATGACTGATATTATTGCTAACAAAGTGAGATTTCCTAAAATGTTCATTTTTAGTCTTGGAACAGGAATATAAGTATTAAGACATTTATAAAATCAGTGATGGTCACATAAAGCCCATACTCCTCAAATCAACAACAATACAGAGCTCATGTCTGAAACAGTCGTAGCACAGTGTAATAATGTACCAATGTTATATATTTCTCATCAATTTTTACAGTTTCCACTGATTACATATATTGACTCATAAAATATTACCATCACATCAATTGTCACCAGATGCAAGCATATGTCATTTAAGTATTAACTATCATATAAAAAATGGCAGCTTGGTTGTTTAGAAGCCATAATCTGGTATCAGCTATTCCCAAATTTCCCTAATGAATTAGCAATCTCATAAAAGTGCTATTCTTTCTGTACTAATCTGCAGCCAAGGGGGGGGGGGGAATCTTTAAATAACTATTTCTTTTCTTTGGCTAAATATTGCTATATATTCATGGTAAACAACAGGTTTATTGATGTAGGAGAAAATGTGTTGGTGGGTTAAATTTTTCCATATTACTAGAAGATGGAAGTTGAGCTCAGCAAAGTAAGCTAAGCTCAACAGAACTATCCATTAAAAACTCAAATGAATATAAATTGCTACTATATAAAACTTACATCATCAACATCATCATCTATAAAAATGAGTACTATATTTGTGTCATATTCTTTCTAGATGCTGCATCTAGAATGATGTTAGCTCACTCTTCTTTTTCATAAAGAACAATCACTAAATTCCTAGTTAAAACTCAGATACCTCAAGTTACTAATGGTGTAAACTTAGAACAAACAAGTCTGGAGATGTTTAAAAACCACCCTGTCCCAGAAATAGGAAAAAAAAAAAAAAAAAAAAAAAAAAAACGAATAGGGTTTTGTTAGGAGAAGGAGAGAAATCCATTCTACATGTTAACTATCCTATCAGATTGTGTAGACATTGCCTAGACTATTAAAACCTTCTAGTAACTGATAGGTAATTGCTCATTTGCTGACTGCAGCAGTGTACAGCAGACAGAAGCTGTGAGAGAAGCCATCCTTCCTTGCTAATATAGCATGTAGAACTTGCTGCTACTGCAACACTTAATGCTCACAGTACCGAGTCATCTTTAATGCAAACACACATTTTCTGCCTTGCTTCTATGTTTTCCATTATAATGCAACACAAAAACAGTGTACATTTCATTCCACCCCTATGAGGTTTGCATAAGCAGTTCCACATCAGACTAAATATTGTATTGCTCTTATTACAGTGGATAAATATTTTAAAGTTTAGGAATTAAATATTTTATTTTTTTCAGTATTCTCTCTGCAACTATTATGATCTTTTTACAGCTTCGTCATTCATGGGAAATCTTTAGGGTTTCTTTTTTTAGATGTAAGGCTGTTATTTGTTTCCCCAAACAGAAGCAGATCAGAGTTAAATAAGTTCAATAAATCACTTTATACTCAGTGTTAATAACAACACCATGCTTCTTCATATGAAGAAAGAGACTTTTCTGTAAGGCATGTATCCTCTATTATAATAAAAGTTTGCTGACAAAAAAAAATGAACGAAGTAAATGCTACATCTTGAAGTATACAATTTCTCTCTTCATTTGTATAAGAGCACAGACTTTTTTGGTATCGCTCTCTTGACCTGACAAAGGTATTTTTCACACTAAATTAAGACAACATATCCTAAGAAGAGCATGTCCTGAGCTGTTTGGTTGAAATTTCCCACAAAAGAAGAAACCAAGAAGCTGTTTATACATCTTCCTTAAAAGAAGTAGACCAATTATGTCAACTGATTTATTAATACATGAAGTTCTTTGCCCAATTATTAAAAGTACAAAGAGATCAGGGAGCAATTTAAACATCTAATGCACCTAAAAATCTTTATTTATTTATTTATTTAAATATTAATTGCAATTCTAAGCAAAGCTACTCTAGGTAGGCCCTTTAGGTTTCATGCAGGTTTAAATAAAATCATAACAATAACATTACCTCATTGGCCAGCTCCAGCAGCACTGGGGCAGCTCCATTTTTCACCACTCCATTCAGGTACCTAGACAAGACAAAGCCATGTGGTAATGCAGAGACAAGAAAAGGCCAGCATAGACTTGTCAGCATCCCCTGTGTGTACACGTTTCTCCTGGGCAAATGTCACGCTCAACTCTAGCTAAAGTACACTACTGTCATAGGAAAGCACTGAAGGGAAAAGGATAACAAAAACAACTTGCCTCAAAACCACTGGCAACTAACTAACTGAAGTTGGGGTCAAGAGGTATAAGCCCATTTGTCTCCCTTGTTTTCACTTACTAACATACACAATGAACACAGAGGTGATTTCTATCCATATCACTCTGGCTTGTTTATAACACAACCACTGCATGGAAAGAAAATAAGGTGACTCCTATAGTTTGAAAAAAGCATCCATGCACCTATCTCACCTTTTTCTTTACCTCTGCTTTGTAGGGCTGGTTGACACCGTATTAAGAAAACAATGGACAGGCTTGTCATTAGTGGGTCAGCACACCTCTGACAGGCAATACTAGCCATTGTCTTCTCTGCCCTGGATTTCTGTAATATCCTCCAGCTCCCATCATCTCCTAACTCCATTGAAAAAAAACGAGAAACAAATAAAACTCCCCAAATCCATCCCAGACATGGAAGCTGGAGCTATATATATATTTTTAATAATAATCTGAATGTGCCATTCTTCTCCTTAAAGCACGTCAAAGGTCCCACATTAAATCTCAAGATTAGGGCCGGCCCGGTGGCGCACTGGAGAGTGCGCCGCTTGGGAGTGCGGCGGCGCTCCCGCTGAGGGTTCGGATCCCATGTGGAGACCAGTTCCCGCTCACTGGCTGAGCACGGTGTGGGCGCAACACCGAGGGTTGCGATCCTGTTGCCAGTCCCCGGTACGGGGGCGACACTGAGGGTTGCGATCCCGTTACCAGTCAGTAAAAAAGACAAAAAGGAAAAAAAAAAATTTCAAGATTATATTATATCTACTTAAGAGCTCTTGCAAGGTTCTTCATAATCTGGTTCCTAGTTATACTACTCTGCCATCTTCACCTGGATAACTCACAATTCAGCTCCGATGTCACTTTCTTCAATCCACCACCATCCAAGAGTAAACTGAGTGCCCCTCATAATGCAATCTGTACATCTCTCTATCATGGAACACAGCATGTTAGTTGCTTCCGTACCATAAACCCATCCCCCACTGTAATGGAAAACCTCCTGAGGGTTGGTGAATTGTATTCTATTCAATTTATTATGCCTACCACGGTTCTTGGTTTACAGAAGGTGATATATAATACATATACATATATATGTATATATGTAATTTCTTTAATGAATGACTAATTAAATAATTTTTTAAAACCATATTGGAAAAGACAATAGAATTAGGCATGAACAATTTCCCTACAGTATAATGTTTAAGTAAATAAATTCAGGATATTTGCCTCATACTAAAAAACCAAGTCAACAGGTGAGGTCTTCCATATAACTGCCAGAAACAGATACTAAATTATATTATTTCACAAGTACACTTACAAGGATGTATAATTTTCATGTAAGCAAAGTGGAGAAAAAGCAAGCTAGTTAAGGTGGGGAGAGCCTCAGGATCATTAGATCTTCAAAATAATTCTAACAAATCCATTTTCCACATATAGGGGCCCTTCTTGAATATACTATTCAGGATACTAACTGGGAAATAAGGACTCTCAGAGGCAAGAAGAAAGAATAAATAAAACAAGGCAAATTGGTTTAGAGAAAGGTCCTGAGGAAACAGGTAAGCTAAGAACCTCACGCTGATTCACACGAATATGTCCACTGCACTGATAGGCCTGCTCAAGGAACACCCAACCAGCTCAGTCAAGTCAACCAACTAATTGTGTGTTCATAATCACCAGAAATGCATATTTATTAAGGGTTTTGATTCTGAGTCAGAGTATTTAAGCCTATACTGATATTATGATATCTTTACAACTTTCCACCCAACAGTCATCTATCCCACAAATATTTCTGAGAGCTATGTATCAGGCCTTATTCCAGGTTCAGAAGGAGCAGGGAACAAAACATCCTTGGTTCCACCATCACAGAGATCATATTACGGAGGACAGACTGGCAATAAAAAAGGAAATAAATATACAATATAATGATATACATTACGATAAAATGTAAACATAGATGGGTTGGTCACGAAGCCCCTCTCTAAGGAAGTGACACTGGAGTAGAGACCTGCATGAAGGGAAGGGGCATCGTGTCATGGTGAGCACTGATGGGAACAACAAAGGGAATAGCCAGACCACTCCTCGTGCCAGAGAACTGTTGTTTTGAGTCAAAATTACATGTTTTCATATAAAAGTTACTTCAATCATGATTCTGGTAATAAACAATAGAGCACTTCTATCAAATTCAAAGAAACAGGAGATGGTCAAACATTAATAACAATCCCCTATATCTACAGAGTCTGAATAATGTTTGAAGTACGATCATTCTTAATAAAGTGGAAATTCCTATTTATAAGGTTGGTAAAGCTTCTCAGTTGGTCACATAAGGAAACCGCACCCCAAGGCACTAATGAAACCCATCTGGGCTCTCTGAGCTGGTCAGCAGTGAAGCTCACAAATGGAACCCTGATCCCCTGAGGCCTAGTGAGGTGCCCCCATATGTTGAAAAGGGTTGATCTGCTTCTGAACGTATTTGCTCCCAAATTTGTTTCCCAACTATATTCTATAACACTTTAGAAGTGGTAGGGGTTGGTTTCAAGTCTTGGCTATTATAAACAGAGCTGTGATGAACATGGGAGTGCAGGTATCCATTTGACATGATGATTTCCATTCCTCTGGGTATATACCCAGAAGTGGGATTGCTGGATCATATGGAAGATCTATCTGTAGTAAATGTCCATCGATGGATGAATGGATAAGGAAACTGTGGTATATATATATACACAATAGAATAATACTCTGCCATAAAAAAAAAAATGAAATTCTCCCCATTTGCAATAACATGGATGAGTCTGGAGAAACTTATGTTGAGTGAAATAAGCAAAGCACAGAGGGATAAATACCACATGTACTCACTCATATGTGGGAGCTAAGAGAGAAAGAAGGAAGGAAAGAAAGACCACAGTGGTACATTGGACTCACAGAAGGAGAGAACACTCCTTGGGCTACAAAGTGGAGTGGGGGGAAAAGGGAGAGAGGGAGGGAGGTAGGGGATAATTGGGTGAGGGACACAGGGTACTAACACAATTTGTGGTAACGGGTATGCTGCCAGTATGAATCTGGCCTTCATATCTTGGGCACAAGGGGTGACAATCAGCTTTGTATCTCATGAATATTCATAATCCATAAAAATAAATAAATAAAAGAAATCT